AGTATGTTTTTAAGAGTTCTGTCTAGTGGGCGTATTGCCGGAAACGGAAATCGAAATGACGTCACATTAGCAGTGGGCTATGATGTGACCATTAAAAAACACTTGATATGCATTGATCACACTGCCGATGTTACCGTCACCTAGCAGTTCCTCTCAAGGTTTATAAGACGACGGAACTGCGTGGCCCACAGCAAAACCAAGCACTGGTCTGTCTCAACGGAAAGGTTAGTAACGTATTTAGAAATGCATTGTGTAAAATTGCTGTGTAAGTTCAAATATTGACTCATTTACAACAAACAGTAGGTTAATTAGTCACGTATTCAACTTATGCAGCTTATGTAAAGGACTGATGTTGCTCTAAAGGGTGACCCAGTGGTAGAAGTCTTGCAGTTTCATTTTAATTAGGCGGCCAAGCTTTCGTCGTTTTTAACAAATCAGGAAAATGAAGGCAAAACATTCTCTGAATACGTGTGTACTCTATTTTCAACAAGGTGGCATTAAGTTGAATGTGGTAGAACAAGAGCTATCAGTTGACTTGTAACATGATTCTCCTTCAGGTTATAAAATAACGTTTATAACGTCTCATAACGTGATTCTTGGAATAGCGGAAGGGCTGCTTGCAGCGTCAATGCTGTTTTTCCTGACAGTTTTTATCAATCAAAAAAGCCCAATATTTACATTTGCATTACCAGATGCGAACGCAAGCCGGCGGATGCAAATTCGTGCAAATGTCATTTTATGTTTCAACGCCCAAGGGGATTAAGCCGTTGTCGTGAAAATGAAAGGCACACAAAAGCACCCACGAAATTGTCGACTGGCCCTTTTGAACTAACAAAAAGAACAAAGGCATTTCGGAAGGGTATAAAAGCAAATATTTCATCTGCATGATAACTTTGCATCAAAATTAATTTGGGTTTCAGAAACCGAGCGTAGACTATTTCTCCCATTTCTACCTCTGTAGCAACTTTGGTCTCGCAAGGTTCGCCGCGCGGCGGAAGCTCCGGCGACAAATCGACGTCTAGGGGCCGATACACGACGGGTTTTGCTCCCGGAGCATGTCCAGGCTCATTTTGCACGTGTCAGTACACACACGAGGGAGCGTTTTCAATTTCGCTCAGTTTGCCCAGGGCGCTTGCTGCCAAATATTTAACCGGTTGGATATCGTGGAGCATTTTGCGGGGTGGAAATCCTGCTCTTGAGGATGAAGTATAACCATGAACTCGTTAATACACGCGGAGGAGCTTTGCTCCCGGAGCGTGCCCCTGAAGCATGCTCCAGGAGCAAAATCACTCGTGTGTATCGGCCTTAATCGTCAGGGAAACTCCGCGGGCTGGTTACAGAAAACTGGAATGATAATTTTGTCGTATATGTTTCTCATCATTTTTAATCGATAAGAAGAATTGTCTCGGCTGATGAAACTTTCATGTTGTTATCCCCGACCTCGATATGCTCCGATATGGGAGCCCCCAGACATTTTCCACGAACCCCTTCCCTAAGCCAAAATTAAATTTTGCCTTAAGTGAGAAGTAAGTGTTACGGTTGGCTTAGGGGAGGGGTAGGTGGGCAGTTTCCCGGAAACTTATAATGATCCGACATGCCCAACTGAAGGGGAAGTAGGTGGGGCTTCCCCTGAAGGAAATCTCGCAGCTAGCTGCGTGAACTCGTCCTATACCTTTCGATCCAACCTGTCTCCTCGTGTTTCTCCTCGTTACGGCATGTGACTTTTTTTAAATGGTACCATAATCATTAAACGCCGGTTTATTCCTCCCCTTCTTTCCTCTCTTCTTGGTATAGCAAAAAAAATGAAACTGGACCAATGACAAATTTTGCCTTTCATTATAGAGACAAACTTACGCGAGCTTTATTTAAAGAGACGCTGCTAAATCTGAAATAAATCATATTCCTCACTTCGGGCATGTATGATATGATATGGGGCTACCCGAGGTAACCGTATTTCTTAAATTAAAGGGAGTTAAGTCTTTAATAAAGTCTACACTAGAACTGAGTTTACAAACTGAAATCGTGCTTCGAATAAACTAGAAATTGCTACGTATTTCCCCATAAAGACATTGCAAAACATCGCCGGAAAACTGCTTCAGCAATGATTTTAGCACTTAGATCATTTTTATGATGTTAAAGGGAATCAACAGATTTCAAAGCCAAGTTTTAATCAGCTCTCATTTCTGCATATGACAGTTTGTATCTCGCTACTGCCGTTTGCGGTTATTCGTAATTGTAGATCTAATTCTAATTCTAAATCTCTCTAAATTCTCTCGATTTGTTCGCAAGCATCTAAGCCTGCAAGTAAGTAGTGGAACTCGGTAAGTCTAAAGTCCTCTTGCGTTTAAATCCGGCTACCAGCCACACGGAAAAAGTCTAGAATTACATAATCAGTCTACACAAACACTTCCGGTTCCGCTTGAAGTCTACCCTTTACAGCGGCATATATCTATATAGCAAAAATATTGCAATGCTCTACGAGGCCGGGACTTTATCGGGTGTTTCGAAGGAGGAAAGGATAAGTAAGGCTAGAATCCTCGAGAACAAAACTGCAATGATTGTAGCACTTAGATCATTTTTATGTTGTTAAAAAGAATCAACAGATTTCAAAACCAAGTTTTTTAATCTGCTCTCATTTCCGCATATGACAGATTGTATCACGCTCTTGCCGTTGGCAGTTATTCTTAATTCTAATCTCTTTAAATTCACTCGACTTGTTCGAAAGTATCGAAGACTGCAAGTAAGTAGTGGACCTCGGGTAAGTCTAAATGGCTTGTACAAGGGTTCTCTTGTGTTTAAATCAGGCTACCAGCCACTCGGAAAAAGTTTAGAATTACTTAATTCTACACATACACTTCCAGTTCCGCTTGAAGTCTACCCTAACAGCGGTATTTACCTATATAGCACAAATATTGCAGTGCTCTACGAGGGGACTTTCCCGGGTGTTTCGAAAGAGGAAGGGGTAAGAATATAGAAAGAATAAGAATAAGGGGTAAGAATCTAGAATCCTCCAGAAAAAAAACTTTTTGTTTCAGAAACGCTTTCATCATTTAAGGCCATAGTATAATGTGTCCGGTGGAAATGCTAGTGTATCTCACAAAACCTGACTTCCGTCCAAAACGAGAAAATTCTCGCGTGCCCTTCTCAACGACCCAAAATTCGAAATCTTGGGTTGAAACTCTAGCTTAACCCTTTAAGTCCCAATATCCACATACAAATTCTCCAGACAGACCTCCATACATTTCCTTAAAGAATTTCTTCCTCGGCGTAGCATGATATTTCCGGTTTTGATAATGTATAACATTCGCAATCTTAACACAATAAGATAGACAATATACCGGAGCCTTATTTGGTTTGATGTTTCCACCAGATGAATTTCAGTTCTGGGTCTTTTCCTTAGTAGGCGTGTCGCGTAAGGATTTAAAAGGCTAAAAAGGCTACTTTTAATTCATTCAATGTTACTTATTACACACAGAATCTCTCTGCTTAATTCAGGTTAGTTTTTGCGTTTATTCGTGTTGTTCGTGCTGTTTCCTTGTTATATCTTTCAACTACAGTTGAACCTCTGTACAACGGCCACCTCTTGGGGACAAAGAAAGTGGCTGCTGTTAAGAGGTTTAAACAAGAGTCAATGGGGACTTTAAACTTTAAGATCACGCGGACGGCAACAAGAGCGTCAAAAAACAATAGGTTTTATTAGCAAAACAACAACTTTGCACGTGTACCACGCTTTTTTGTACCATTTCTCTGCCCGTTTTTGCACGACTACGACGTGAACATGCCTAATTTCGCGTTTTATTGAGGGCGTAAATAAGCAACGACGAATTCAACTCCAGGAGGGTTCGCCTACATTTGACAAAGTAAGTGGGTAGGAATAATTGCGATAAACACTGAAAGAACGCAAATTCACTTTTTAAGCGACGTTCTCACTGCCGTCGCGTCGTTGGATCTTAAAGTCTCTAATGTATGGACTACACGGCAAAAAGGGACCGTTATAGACAGGTGGCCGTAAGTAGAGGTTCGACTTTAACCCTTTAAGCCCTTAGGGTGATCAGCATGAAATTTCTCCTTATTATATCAATGCTTTAGAAAACAGAGTGGTCATGAGAATTGAGTGCATGATCAGGGAAGATGAGTGTAATTGATATTTCAACAAATTCTCCCCACTACTTCTATTGAAAAAGTATGGGGAGAGTTAGTGAGAATCTCAATTTTTATATTAGGGTTTAAAGGGTTAATGCACTTACGAAACTAAAGCTATGTTTTTATTTTTATGCTGATGAGATAGCAACACAGCGACAGCTTTCCTATAATTAATATTCCCTGTGCCTTTTACAAACTGTACGATAGAGAGGTGAAGTGGGACGTCACGTTACCATAGTAACAAAATATCTCTGGAACTCAACAATCTTTCTTGACGGCCATTTGCATTGTTGTACGATGAAAAAAAGTATGGGTTACGGTTTTGTTCCTGAGTGCAATCGTGCACAGGAAATTCATACAAGTCATGTCAGTTTTGTTCGTTGCTTTTGCCATATTTGCAGGACCACGGTTTGTTGAAAAATTTTGCTATCATGGCAACGCGGTGTCGTAACGACTTCTCTGTTCAATTTTAATANTTGTACGATGGAAAAAAGTATGGGCTGCGGTTTTGTTCCTGAGTGCAATCGTGTACAGGAAATTCATACAAGTCATGTCAGTTTTGTTCGTTGCTTTTGCCATATTTGCAGGACCACGGTTTGTTGAAAAATTTTGCTATCATGGCAACGCGGTGTCGTAACGACTTCTCTGTTCAATTTTAATAGTGAATTTGAATATCCAAAAATATATCCAATGCAACGCAATAGTTTTTTTTTTCAATTTGTCTGTGCTCAAACATAGTGTCAAACACCAGCCAACCAAATTATTAATCTATAATAATTAAAAGGGCTTCATTTCATTTCACCTAACGATTCTTTTTTTTTTTCATCCCAGGATTTTTTTTATAACAAGACTGAAACATGGGAGGAACACCCTCAAAGAAGAAATTTAAAGTAAAACATGGCCTTACCAATAATTTAAAAACAAAGTCGATTATTGGAAGCAGAGAAGAACTCTCATCTTGTAAGTGTCGAAATTCTTTGGCAATTTGAGGCAGTGTTGACATAAGCGTTCTTGTCACAATGTTAAATTACAAGAACAAGTTTTCTCTGTATCATGTTTATTTTATGAGAAAGGATTTTGCGACAGGAAATGATAGACTTAGAGTGATTTAAAAGATGGAATCCTCCAAGAGTATGATTTGGGGTAATTTTTCCATGTCGCATTGGCATGGAAAGATGAAAAAATACATTATTCTGTGGTCTTCTAACGGTCTTCAAGCGCCCGCAATACTTGCCCTTTTTTTATTTGTGGCCGTAGACAGTCACAAGTTCTGGTTAAATATTTGTTGATAAAACCGGAGTATGTATCGTTGTCATCATTCTCTATCGCTAATTTATTTTTACAGGGGAAAATCTCGGCTTCAAATACTTTCAAGAAAAAATGGGAGAAGAGTTATTTCAGCAAAAAATGAAAGAAGCGGACGAAGTAAGTACAGAATAATATCCGATTATTTTTGTCCCGACCCCATGACCAATATTTTTATTAACACTCGCGGGTCATATTGTCATTGTTAACCCATTAGCTTGTATTGAGATTTTTAAAATGAGTACCGAAAAAAGGTCACTTTTTCGAGTTTTGTTATGCGCTACAGTTAAGGAATCCGCATCATTTCCTTCTCTGACGTACACAATGGAAAAACTGGCAATCCCTAGATCGTTATAGAACAGAGAGAAAATGTAGGCTTTCCCAATGGTAGCTAATGGGTAATCACTAGTTATTGTACCAATCCAAAAGACACTTTTTTTCCCTTCACGTTAACATACCTGTTTTATGTGTTTTTCACGGTCATTAAAATCCATTCTTTCTGCAGCCACCACCTAAACCTGGTAACTTCAGCGCATCTCAAATGGCCCGTTACGTGGCTAAATTCAAAACTGCATTTGCTTTAAAAGCACTTGTAACCCGTCAGCGCGGAACTCACCCCAGAGGTGTGGGGGCTATTGGAACAGCAACAGTATGCGACAACCCTCTCCTCCCCGAACACGAATTTTTCGAGACCGGACGAGTGTTTCCATTGCGTCTCCGACATTCTAATCTTGCCAGACCCGATGACACTCAGCTGGACGTGAGGGCGGTGTCTTTGAAGTTTGCTGACACTGACTTTGAGTCGCCGTTTGATCTAATGATGCATACTGGCGAAGAGGCGGCTTTCTGGAACATTTACAGTTTTGACAAGATGATTACAGCACTGACCGGAGGCCCTAAGACGTTTAAAGCTTTCTGTCTTGAGGATCCTTGGCAGTAAGTGTTTATTTTTGTTTTTTTCTTTTCTCTTTTGTAATTTCTGCCAGCTCACTTAGCCTTCTCTAATTCAGATGGAGTAGTCTGGGAAAACAGTCGATCTCCTACCCAGATTCCTTAGACTTCTTGTTAAGCGGGAGGCAGCAGCTGTTTCCTCGAAGGAAGCTAAATAAAAATGAAGCTTCTGACATTCTTGTTAGGACCAGTAGTATATGGCAGCGGTTATCACGTTTTCCAGCCAAAATGACGCTGGGTTCACACGTGCGCACTGCTTAGTATTCAGTGGCGGAAACTCGTCCTCGTCTTAGAATCCAAACGTTTTTAATACCTTGGGGCTCTTTTAACTTCACACTGATAGTAAATCTCTCTAAAGTGTAGTCTCTACTGCTTTGTCTTATGGTCAAAGGATTTTGAAAGCCGCATCTGCTTATGTTTAATGACGTGATCAATCGTAAGTCTTTTAGCCATGTAATACCCGCTATTATTATATGGCTGAATCCGCGAGCGGGCAATATGAAGCGAATATTAATTTGAAAATTGTAAAATCGATGCTGTTCAAGAGTCTTAACCCTGAAGAAGGCAGCATTGCCGAAACGTCGGTCAAGACTCTTCATGAACAGCGTCGATTTTACAATTAAGTAGCTATGCTGCGCAAGGAATTTAATCTTTATTTTACAATATGAAGCGAATCCTGCTTTCTGATTGGCTACACGAGCGGGCACGATGGGCCCATCTTACCTGCTCTGGATTTCCCGCATTGGTCCCGAAAGAAAAAGTTATCTTTTTAGCCATATAAATCCCTTATTGGTCAAGCTTGCTCGGTCAAGATGGCTAAATATTAGCCTCGTTCTTTTTATGCATTTTACTGACCTCGACTTCGTTTCTGTCAATAAAAACGCAAAAAAGAACTTGGCCAAATTGACCTCACGCTTGGTCAATAACGCATTTATAAATCTTTAAAATTTCTCTCTGCAGCTTTTACCTGTCTATAGCTGTGTTCCGTCGCGCTCCGGACTCATTCACGGATCAGCGGTATTACTCGTGGATGGCTTATGAATACAAAGCAAAAGATGGCAAGCTGCGTTACGCCAAATTTCGCCTCGTTCCCCAAGATGGCAGAGCAGAGACTGGTCTATTAACAGAATTTGACCAAAGAAAACCATGGTAAGTAGTGTGCGCAACAAACTCAGCCAGTTCTTGTTTTATGAGGCGCCAGAAATTGACGGTGAAATAGGTCGGGATCACCGGAGCGCTTGCCGGTAAAAGCAGGAAGGGAGGGGACAGAAAAGTAAAGACCTTTCACGATCCCATGGCACTACCCTTTCCCTAGCCAATTAACAACGCCCAAAGAGAGAACCAAGGTAACTCAAAATCAATTATGTCGAATTTCCTCTATAGCTCTTCCTTCGTTTTAGAGTATATAAGTTTTTTCGGAGCGCAGATGATCTGTGTTAACACATTATCTTTCTCTAACAGTCCTTTGAATGTATTCTGTCAGTCCAAACTTTTGTAGCGTTCGCGTGGATGGATGCGCCTTTTTTACTGGACGGAAATAAGAGAGAATCGTTATTTTCTCTTACTGGTGACAAGTCTCTGCGAACAACCACTCTGCACTTGCAGCTCGGGTGACATGTTTTTGCGTTTGGTGATGGGACATGTCGCTTTCGTGCGTGATAAGGAATTGTTGTCGTTTTAGAGTTTTGACGCCGCGAAAAGGCGCATAAAATGAAACGAGTTTGAATTATTTGCGCGGCTTGTGGCGGCGATTTTTACCACCATTCTCCATGTTAAGGGAAGTGTTTTTCTCCCGTGCGACGCGTTGCAGCGAATCGTTACCTTATCTGTCTTCTTAAAGAATTTGTTGTTACATTCAATTATTATATTTACTTCAGGGAGCCTGCAAGATGGGAGGATGAAAAACGTCCTGAAAGTTACCTCATCCCTGAATTTAAAGAGCGCTTATCGGAAGCCCCCATTGAATACAAACTCCAGATACAATTACATGAAGTAAGTCCTGATGATTCGCACCTAATTCTTCACCCTTCAAGAGTATGGGACCATGACAACCATCCGTGGTTGGATTTAGCTCTCGTCACCATGACGTCACTTTTATCTGTTGCTGTAGTTGAGCGAACTCGTTGTTCACTTGACAACCACCCTTCCACAATTAGCATTCCTCCGGCACAGACTATCTACGACTACAATTCTATTGCATATCTGCGGTCTAAAGTCTATTCCTCCTCAAATAAAATGAGCTCAAACAAGCCAAGATCAGAGGTTTGCAAACAACATGCTTGTGAAGGAGCAAGGTACAGTGTACGAGTGCGGACTGGAAATCGAAAAGGGGCCGGGACAGATGCTAAAGTGTCGCTGACAATAACAGGTGAGATAACTTATAAGACATATTTTGAATCTATGATGTAAAAATTGTTTCACGTTTATGGCAAGAAATCAAACGTAAATGCCGCTTAATACGAAATGAAATACACTTTATTATCAAGATGGAAGGGGACATGGGGGTTTACGGTATTGCGGTATTGATTCTTTTTTTTAAGCAGTATTTCGGTACATGATTTTATTGTGCGATGTTGCGGTATCATCTAGGCTTGCGGTATGCGGGTTTTCATGTTTTTGGCTAACGGTATTCGGTAAAAGAAGATCCTTCTCGGCATTGTGGTACTGTTCATTTGCGCTCTCCTGTCTAATACAGGTCAATATTTTGAAGACTTAAAACTTGGTAAATGATTACAGTTAATTAATAGTTACAGTTAATTGACCGGGCTTTTCGATCGTACGCGTTATACCGATGTACTTAAGGTCTTCTCACGTTTTCTCGCAATGGCTGCGGTTAATTACTAGTACATACAATGGTGCATACATGCATGAGAAACAAACAGTCGAGATGGATACAAATTAAAGTAAGCGTCACCAATCGTAAATTCGGTATCGGTATTTCGTTGATTTTCGAAACGGTATTTCGGTTTTTCATAATTTTTCTTACAGAATTGCGGTATTGAGTACCCCCAATGTCCCCCTCAAGATGCCTGGATATTGGCTAAAGTCCGAGATCAATTACCCTGGGTACCAGAGGCTTTTCTCGCGTACGGCGGGAATTTTCGGTGTGGGCCGAAGGCCGACACATCTTCGGCCGTAGGCCGAAACCACGAGCGGCGACGGGAATTTCGCGCGGGTCACTATAAAGACTTAACAGACACCGGTAACCGCGCTAGAAAAGTCTCTGGCACCCAGGTTAGAGATCAATAAAAACGCACAAAAAAACAAGGCCAACATTCAGCCATTTTAACCTCACGCTTGGTCAATAGAGGATTTATTACATGGCCAAGAGAACCATTTTTTCTTGCGGCTAAGATACACCAATCACAACACACGATTGGCTTCGATTCATTTACCCGCTCGCGGAAGCATTTATAGAATAAACTTTTTTTATTGCAATTCAATTTTCTTACAGGATATCGACTCTTTCAAGACAACAATCCCAGCAGGATTATATTCCGGCATCGCAAAATCTCGTCTATATAATCCCGTTCCGACTCAAAAACCCCTCTGGGAAACCCCTTCATAAGCGCCAGACATCCTGCAAAACGACAAATTGTCTTTATTAGTATAACAAAATAATTTTTTTTCTTCAAGGAACCAAGGGCAGAACAAAGCCTGCTGTATTGGATAAGTGGTTTCATAACGATTTCGAGAGGGGCCAAGAAGATACTTACGTCATCGAGGCGGACGATGTTGGGGAACCAGTCATGATAAAACTGGAGAACGATCAAGGTGGCATTTTCCATCGTTCTAGCGATTGGTTTGTGGATAAGGTGTTGATAACTACCAGCTCCACAATTCTAAAGGTTTACGAATTTCCGTGTTACGCATGGGTGAAGCGTGAGTCCGTTTTCTTTGAAGGAAAAGGTATGTACATAAGCTAGTCCGCTAGAGCAGGCGCCTTATAACGGTTTTGTTTCACACGCCGTGAGTAAAAAGTGGACAGAAAAGGCGTCTTTTCTCCTAGGATAGTGAAAGTTAGGCAAGTCCTAGAATGTTATAACAATGCTATGCTTTAAATTGACACAGTCTGGCAGTCTTGATCCTGACGTTAATTTTAATGCAGATGAGACACCCCATCGTTATTCTGATGCAGATTTCTCTTTCCTACATCTTAATATCCGTAGTCTTCCTCATAATTTAGTAAAACTGACTGATTATCTATCATGCTTAAACATAAAATTTTCTGTAATCGGAATTTCTGAGACCTGGCTAAACGATTCTGCTCATTCGGTCGATATTAATGGATTCAAATTTCTGCACAAGTATAGGCAAAATAGAACTGGAGGTGGGGTAGGGCTTTATATTTCAAACGATCTAGAGTTCAAACTTCGAGAAGATTTGTCCCTCCATAATGTTGATACTGTAGAATCACTGTTCATTGAATTAATAAGACCTCGAGAAAAAAATATAATTGTTGGTATTGTTTACAGACCGCCAAATCATAGACTCGACGATTTCTTGTCTACAAACAATGAGTTGTTAGGTAATATCTCTAGAGAAAACAAAATATGCTTCCTAATGGGGGACTTTAATATTAATTTAATTAACTACCAAAATCACCACCTCACAGGCCAATTCTTAGATGGAATGTACTCTAATATGTTTTTTCCTTTGATTACGCGTCCCTCGAGAATTACTTCACATACTGCTACGTTAATAGATAATATTTTTTCGAACAACTTTTTTGAACGTTCGAGAAGCGGCTTATTATTTACTGACATTTCAGATCATCTACCCGTCTTCTCAATTCATTCAGATAACGTTAACACGTCGGTAAATCGATGTCGACAAGACCCCTTCTTTATTAGAGATAAGAATCCGAATAATATTCCTACTTTTGTTGAAAAACTAGAAGTTGTTGATTGGTCTTCGATTAAAACTTGTGATGAGCCAGATATTGCGTACAAACGCTTTCATGAAATGTATACAAAGATTTATAACGATTGCTTCCCTCTCAAGAAGGCGACTAGAAAGCAGAGGCGCTTTAAAAAACCGTGGTTAACGAAAGCTCTTCTTAAATCAATTAAAACAAAGAATAAACTTTACAAAAAATATCTTCAAGTTCCAACAGTCGACAATTGTTCACTCTACAAAAGATATAAGAACAAATTGAATCACACCTTGCGCTTGGCTAAGCGTCGGTATTATGAAAAGAAATTGGAAGATGCTAAATCAAATACACATGCGACCTGGAAAATTTTAAACGAAGTTTTAAACAGAAAAAAGCCAAGGCCTCAATTAAATACAATATTTAAGTCAGACGGTCAGGAGATTTCTGATCCAGTGGAAGTAGCAAATAGGTTTTGTAGCTACTTCTCTAGTATTGGTCCCAACCTCGCAAAGAAGATACAGCCTCCTCCTTGTTCACATAAAGATTTTCTATCTGGATCATTTCGAGAGTCAATCTTTTTTAGCCCAACAACAGAGGATGAAATTATTACCATTGCTCAATCTTTTGCTTCCGGGAAAGCGGCTGGATACGATAATATTCCAATGTCTATAATTAAGGAATCCATTCAAATCATTTCGGGACCTCTGGCTCACATTATGAATTTATCGATCGCTCATGGCGTTGTACCAGATCAAATGAAAATAGCTCGTGTGGTACCACTGTTTAAAGCTGATGACCAGTCACTATTCACCAACTATAGGCCTGTCTCGGTTCTACCAAGCTTTTCAAAATTTCTAGAGAGAATCATCTATAATCGCTTGTATGATTATTTAACTAATTTACATATTCTCTGTGATAACCAGTTCGGCTTCAGGAAAAACCACTCTACGACGCTTGCCTTGATTGATTTGCATGAAAAAATTTCATCTGCTATTGATCATGGTGAATTAGCGGTTGGTGTCTTTTTAGATCTCTCGAAAGCTTTCGATACAGTCAATCATTCCATCTTATTTGATAAACTTGAACACTATGGTATACGTGGCTTGGCTCTCAAATGGATTAAGAGCTATTTTTCCAACAGACTTCAATTTGTAGAATACAATGGTTATGTTTCGTATCGTGCTAATATCATGTGTGGCGTTCCCCAAGGTTCAATACTAGGGCCTTTGTTTTTTCTGCTCTACATCAACGATATAATCAACACGTCAACAATATTACAACTGATATTATTTGCTGATGATACAAACGTATTTGTGTCTCACAAGGATAAAGACTGCCTTACTAATATACTGAACGCTGAGCTAAATAAGTTGTCAATATGGTTTAGAGCTAACAGGCTTTCATTAAACTTGAAAAAAACCAAATTCATTGTATTTAAACCATCTCAAAAGCGTACAAATCAAACTATTCAACTTTTAATTAATAATCAAAAAATTGATCAAGTAAAAGAAACAGTTTTCTTGGGAGTAATCATGGATGAAAATTTAAATTGGAAATCTGAAATCTCACATGTCGCCAATAAAGTTTCTAAATGCACAGGAATTATTCGTAAATCCAGTTTCTATTTATCCACGAAAACCTTACGAACACTATATTTTTCTCTAGTCTATCCATACCTTTTTTATTGCAACTTAGTTTGGGCCTCTACTTACAGAACTAACCTTATTCGTCTTGAGATTTTACAGAAACGAGTGATCAGAACTATAGCTAAAACAACTTTCGATGCACATACTGATCCAATCTTTCAAAATCTTGGTATCTTAAAATTTCATGATATATACTTAATACAACTAGGCTTATTCATGTACTCCTATCAAAACCATACTCTACCTTTAAAATTTCATTGTAAATTTACCTTACAAAGTCAAATTCATTCGTATAATACAAGAAACTCGTGTAAATTTCGTCTGCCTTTCTGTCGTACTCGAACCAAACAATTTTCCGTTTTTTATCAAGGACCTAAATTTTACAACACCTTAAACACCAACATCATCAACGCTTCCTCACCTTTCTCCTTTAAAAGAGCACTTAAGGCATTTATTTGTAATAATTATTAGTATACTCCAACAAAAATTTTGGGAAAAAGCCTTTTAATATTCAACATTTGTAAACTTCCGTAATATTGATTAGTTTAATTTTTCACCTCATATTATGTTGTATCCGTCGCCGTAATTTTTATACTATCTTCGAAAAATTGTAATTGAGGAGGCCTAATTAACATAAGCTCTATAGGTTCTTTTAGGCCTCCTCGCCATCTCTTCCTACATTTTTTTCTTTTGGCATCTTTTTGTAATTATCGTAATCGTGTGGCAAATAAATAAAATACCTAAATACCGATAACCAATCCCACTATTCCAAATAACCAGGTTCATTGTTGCGCATTTCTTCGGTTATTCGTCCACTAAGTCTTTCCAGCTTCATAGCCAAGAACGCGGCGTTTATTTATTCATATTGGATCAATCCTATATTTTAAAATTTTCTGGGTTACCATGCGCCCAGACCTCCTAATAATGAGCCACTTTGGCCCTTAATTGTCTTCTCGTGTTGTCACCTTCAAAAGCACCTGCTAAGCTCCGTACAGCACAATAAGAAGTGCCAGTTCTAACCTCATATTTCTTCTTACAGCCAAACTGATCACAGACGAACAACTCGAAGCAGTAAAGAAGCAGCGACACTTGGAGATCCAACATCGGCAAGAGGTTTACAAATGGGGAGACGATCCTAATTTTATGGGTCTCCCCGGATACATCAAGGCTGAAAGCGTAAGGAAGCTTCCCAAAGACATTCGTTTTACTGAGGAAGCTATTGATGACTTATACAGCGCCAAAAAGAAGGCACTTGTTAACCTCGGTCTGGTTAAATTGCTGAATGCTTTTGAATCGTGGGAAAATTTTCATGATTATCGTAAGGTAAGCGGTGAGCAAAATGTACGAAAGTTGATAATTTTTTTTTTTTTAATTTTGGTAGACAATGGGAATTTAAGTTTGTGGCTTTTTATCAACTGATGGTACAAAACACTTTAACTCTTTGGTCCTGTTTATTTGCCGGCCGTTTAAGACCTTATTTGTAAAATTTGACGAGCAAATCTTTTTATAATAAACCAACTACAGTTTTAAGGGAAAAGTTTAAAAATTCCTTTTCTAGGCATTCGTCTCCTTCGTCGGCGACGTTCCACCAGCTGCCGATCAATGGCAGGATGACACCTTCTACGGATCGCAATTTCTGAATGGCTGTAATCCAGATACTATCAAGCGATGCACCGAGTTGCCATCCAAGTTTCCAGTCACACAGGAGATGGTCGGCAATTTGCTGGACCAGGGAGATACCCTCAAGAAGGCAATGCAGGTAACTTTATATCATGCTTTCCCAAATTAAATGTTGCAATATTATTCTAGCTTGTACTATGCTCATACTTGTAGCTAACGCTGAAGGAGCAAGGTACAGTGTACGAGTGCGGACTGGAAATCGAAAAGGGGCCGGGACAGATGCTAAAGTGTCGCTGACAATAACAGGTGAGATAACTTATAAGACATATTTTGAATCTATGATGTAAAAATTTTTTCACGTTTATGGCAAGAAATCAAACGTAAATGCCGCTTAATACGAAATGAAATACACGTTATTATCAAGATGGAAGGGGACATGGGGGTTTACGGTATTGCGGTATTGATTCTTTTTTTAAGCAGTATTTCGGTACATGATTTTATTGTGCGATGTTGCGGTATCATCTAGGCTTGCGGTATGCGGGTTTTCATGTTTTTGGCTAACGGTATTGGGTAAAAGAAGATCCTTCTCGGCATTGTGGTACTGTTCATTTGCGCTCTCCTGTCTAATACAGGTCAATATTTTGAAGACTTAAAACTTGGTAAATGATTACAGTTAATCTATGCTGAAATTGGTGGGGCATCCAACAATGACTGGGCTTTTCGATCGTACGCGTTGTACCGATCTACTTAAGGTCTTCTCACGTTTTCTCGCAATGGCTGCGGTTAATTACTAGTGCATACAATGGTGCATACATGCATGAGAAACAAACAGTCGAGATAGATACAAATTAAAGTAAGCGTGACCAATCGTAAATGCAGTATCGGTATTTCGGTTTTTCATAATTTTTCTTACAGAATTGCGGTATTGAGTACCCCCAATGTCCCCCTCAAGATGCCTGGATATTGGCTAAAGTCCGAGATCAATTGCCCTGGGTACCAGAGGCTTTTCTCGCGTACGGCGGGAATTTTCGGTGTGGGCCGAAGACCGACACATCTTCGGCCGTAGGCCGAAGCCATGAGCGACGACGGGAATTTCGCGCGGGTCACTATAAAGACTTAACAGACACCGGTAACCGCGCTAGAAAAATCTCTGGCACCCAGATTAGAAATCAATAAAAACGCACAAAAAAACAAGGCCAACATTCAGCCATTTTAACCTCACGCTTGGTCAATAGAGGATTTATTACATGGCCAAGAGAACCATTTTTTCTTGCGGCTAAGATACACCAATCACAACACACGATTGGGTTCGATTCATTTACCCGCTTGCGGAAGCATTTATAGAATAAACTTTTTTTATTGCAATTCAATTTTCTTACCGGATATCGACTCTTTCAAGACAACAATCCCAGCCGGATTATATTCCGGCATCGCAAACTCTCGCCTATATAATCCCGTTCCGACTCAAAAACCCTTCTGGGAAACCCCTTCATAAGCGCCAGACATCCTGCAAAACGACAAAATGTCTTTATTAGTATAACAAAAATTTTTTTTTTCTTCAAGGAACCAAGGGCAGAACAAAGCCTGCTGTATTGGATAAGTGGTTTCATAACGATTTCGAGAGGGGCCAAGAAGATACTTACGTCATCGAAGCGGACGATGTGGGAGAACCAGTCATGATAAAACTGGAGAACGATCAAGGTGGCATTTTCCATCGTTCTAGCGATTGGTTTGTGGATAAGGTGTTGATAACTACCAGCTCCACTATTCTAAAGGTTTACGAATTTCCGTGTTACGCATGGGTGAAGCGTGAGTCCGTTTTCTTTGAAGGAAAAGGTATGTACATAAGCTAGTCCGCTACAGCAGGCGCCTTATAACGGTTTTGTTTCACACGCCGTGTGTAAAAAGTGGACAGAAAAGGCGTCTTTTCTCCTAGGATAGTGAAAGTTAGGCAAGTCCTGGAATGTTATAACAATGCTATGCTTTAAATACCGATAACCAATCCCACTATTCCAAATAACCAGGTTCATTGTTGCGCATTTCTTCGGTTATTCGTCCACTAAGTCTTTCCAGCTTCATAGCCAAGAACGCGGCGTTTATTTATTCATATTGGATCAATCCTATATTTTAAAATTTTCTGGGTTACCATGCGCCCAGACCTCCTAATAATGAGCCACTTTGGCCCTTAATTGTCTTCTCGTGTTGTCACCTTCAAAAGCACCTGCTAAGCTCCGTACAGCACAATAAGAAGTGCCAGTTCTAACCTCATATTTCTTCTTACAGCCAAACTGATCACAGACGAACAACTCGAAGCAGTAAAGAAGCAGCGACACTTGGAGATCCAACATCGGCAAGACGTTTACAAATGGGGAGACGATCCTAATTTTATGGGTCTCCCCGGATACATCAAGGCTGAAAGCGTAAGGAAGCTTCCCAAAGACATTCGTTTTACTGAGGAAGCTATTGATGACTTATACAGCGCCAAAAAGAAGGCACTTGTTAACCTCGGTCTGGTTAAATTGCTGAATGCTTTTGAATCGTGGGAAAATTTTCATGATTATCGTAAGGTAAGCGGTGAGCAAAATGTACGAAAGTTGATAATTTTTTTTTTTTAATTTTGGTAGACAATGGGAATTTAACTTTGTGACTTTTTATCAACTGATGGTACAAAACACATTAACTCTTTGGTCCTGTTTATTTGCCGGCCGTTTAAGACGTTATTTGTAAAATTTGACGAGCAAATCTTTTTATAATAAACCAACTACAGTTTTAATGGAAAAGTTTAAAAATTCCTTTTCTAGGCATTCGTCTCCTTCGTCGGCGAGGTTCCACCAGCTGCCGATCAATGGCAGGATGACACCTTCTACGGATCGCAATTTCTGAATGGCTGTAATCCAGATACTATCAAGCGATGCACCGAGTTGCCATCCAAGTTTCCAGTCACACAGGAGATGGTCGGCAATTTGCTGGACCAGGGAGATACCCTCAAGAAGGCAATGCAGGTAACTTTATATCATGCTTTCCCAAATTAAATGTTGCAATATTATTCTAGCTTGTACTATGCTCATACTTGTAGCTAACGCTAGCTACCTGCAGCATTCAACTCCGTGAGACGCCATCTTGAAGTGTTAAAGTAGCAGAAATCATGGATGAATAAAAAAGTTGATTGAGGGTAAAGTGCATCGGCATAACTTTAACACGAAACACCTACGCACACGCGCAAAATGAATTTTACGGTATATTTTGGTATAAATCACAGGAAGCCTGCATCACATACTAAACTTGTGGTTGAAGTCGTCTGCAAGGCTGTAAGAGCCGAAATCCTTGTTCTGGTCCCCAGGTGTTTACCATGATTGGAGAACGTGCCATGTTTAGGAATTCCATCGTCGTTTTGCCAATCGGATTGAAGGGAAACTCGAAATACATTTCCGGTAATTCATTGAATCCGTTAGAGACCCAGAACAAGGATATCGGCACTGCTTATGGACGGACCATTAGAAAACTTATGGGTGGGTGGCGGGCGAAGTACAAAAAAATATTCCCGCAAGGGAAAATCAAATGAAAAAAATTCATGTACGCCAATTAACCCTAAAAAATATTCATGTCACGGCCTAAAAAAAATTCATACAAGGAATATGATAACGAAAACATATTCCTGCGGCTCAAAAATTCCTCAGCCCCCCTCACCCCCCCTCCCGTAACTTTTCTTTTTTTCCCTAACTGGGGTTAGATTAAACGTCCGCGACGCAGGCTACACGTAACCCTTTAAACCCTAATATCAAAGTTGAGATTCTCATTTACTGTCCTATACTTTTTCAATAGAGGTAGTGGGGAGAATTTGTTGAAGTATCAATTAGACTCATCTTCCCTGATCATGTACTCAGTTCTCATGACCACCCTGTTTTACAAAGCATTGATATTACAAGGAGAAATTTGATGCTGATCTCTTTTGGGGTTATAAGGGTAAAATAAGACTCCTCTCTAGGGGACTCATTTGCGGACCTACATTGGTTTCCTTGCATTATTTACAGAATGGACGTGTCTACATGGTTGACTTCAAGATTCTCGAAGACATTCCCCATTACGGAGAAAAAGATACTAAAGTAGAGAGGCGTTATACCTGCGCGGCTATGGGCCTGTTCTATGTCAAGAGCACTGAAGATATAGTTCCCATAGCAATACAGTTACACCAGGTGCCTAGCGAGACCAATCCAATATGGACCGCCAACGATTCGGAACTGGACTGGACTTACGCAAAAATGTGGCTCAAGAATGCAGACTCGCAGTGGCATCAGGTAATGGCCTTCACGGGAACTAGTCACAACGCGCTTTTGCATAGATCGTTAAGTCTCTTTGATAAGTTCTGTATCCATGACAAAAATCATGCTGAAAAGTATAATGTAGTTTTTACCAACTTGAAGTGAAACATTGGTTTTGTGCCTGGCAGAATTGAATTTAAGAACTGAACGCTGAGAGTATCTTCATGGCTTTCGGTTTTGTGAAACAATTTGTAGAAAATAATTATTGGATCAATCAGCTCCTTAAATTACTCGACAAGGTCCACAGTGTGCGTTTTCACTCACGTGGGCAGCATCTATACAAATGTATTGGAACAAAAGTAAGCGCTAACATAAGAAAAGAGTTCAACCCCCCATAGAACAGGATTGACACTCCAACTTGGCGGACGTGACGTCATGTGGATAGCTAGGCTCTTTAGCAACTTCCCACTGTATTTGCAGATGATCACGCATCTTCTTCGAACACATCTCTTTATGGAGCCTGTTGCTGTTGCCTGCAGAAGACAGCTACCCTCTCTCCACCCTCTGTGGAAGTTACTAGCACCTCACGTGCGGGGAGTTATGGCCATTAATACGCTGGGAAGAGAAAGGCTGATTCCTGCCGGTGGTGTGGCCGACAACACGCTTAGCTTAGGAGGTGGAGGTAAATCAATGAGAGGGGGGTTTTTGTTACCCATATTAAAAGTATCTACTTTACCATATAACGGTCTCAAAGCACAAAAAAATCTGTGTAATTGTTCTTGCTTACCTGAACTCGTTTTTATACAATGTCTCCTCCCCGCGATAATCTTGAGTTGACGGTGGGTAATGTAAGTTGTACTTATGAAAGGAAGTGTTCCCACAAAAGTAGGATGTTACATAGTTCACTAAAAATGAGTGATAGCTGAGACTGGGCATGATTATTTAAAGACCCTGAGTAAATGGCCTAACCCCCGGAAATCAAACATGCCACTTGGCGCTAAGCAGGCCAGCTTCCTCCCGCCTGAGGCAACCCTAATCGTAGTCTTTCGGTGGTCTCTAGACCAAATTTCTGACTTTATCTTACTTTATTCTTGTCGTAGGCCACATTTTGCTGATGAAGAAATACTACAAGGACTTGAGTTGGTCAACCTATGATTTGCCCAAAGTCTTTAAACAAAGAGGGGTTCATGATGCAAAAAAATTGCCTGGCTTCTACTACCGAGACGATGCGCTCAGGCTATGGCAGGCCATCGGGGACTTTGTTACTAGCATTTTAGCGATTTATTACCATTCTGACAAAGACATCCGAAATGTAAGTTATGCACCTTTCGGATATTTTAGTAGATCATACGCGCAGATGGTAACTATATATTTCGTATTTAGTTCTAACTTAGGAGTCTGTGTATGAATTTATGTGGTGTTACCATTCAAATGAAACCTCTTTAGCAGTACTTTCACATGGTGCTATTTATTTATTATGTAGTTCTAACTTTTGAGTCTGTGGATGAAATCCTATGGTGTTACCATTCAAATGAAACTTCTTGAGCAATACTTTTACATGGTGCTATTTATGTAGTTTGTAGTTCTACCTTTAGAGTCTGTGGATGAAATCCTATGGTGTTACCATTCAAAAGAAACTTCTTGAGCAATACTTTTACATGGTGCTATTTATGTAGTTTGTAGTTCTAACTTTTAAGTTTGTGAATGAAATTCTTTGAAACCCCATAGGCAGTACTTTCACATGGTGCTATTTTTTTTTTTTTAGTATGCAGTTCTTTTTCTTTCAGTCTATGAACAAATCCTATGTTGGGACCATTCAAATGAGACTCTCCGACAGTATTGATTTTCAGTATTTACGAACAAGTGAATAAAGTATTGTTTTTATTTGCACGTTTGGGAGTTAAAGTAACCTGTCTCCTTTGCTAATACGGTTGAGATACAAGGTTGTCACGGCAAGCAGTCCGTGAAGTAATGGAGAGCAATTATATAGGTATAAAACGTCATGTGACCGAGTGCTGTCAACTTCTTTTCTAGAACGGGTCAATTTAGGTTTTTGAGAATCTTCCCACCTACCCCTCCCCTAAGCCAACATTTTGCCCTAGGTGAGAAGTAAGAGTTAAGGTTAGCAAAGGGGAGGGGTAGGTGGGCAGCTTTCCAGAAGCCTAAATTGATCTAATACTTCTTCCAGGACACGGAACTACAAGCGTGGATTCGTGATCTTCACGACAATGGTTACCCAGTTAGAGAGGGTGAAGGCGACCACGGCTTCCCGTCTTCAGTCACCACCGCTGACCAACTAAGCCATCTGCTGACCATCATCATCTTCACATGTTCTTGTCAGCATGCAGCTGTTAACTTTTCGCAAATGGATACCTTTGGTTTCCCGCCAAATGCTCCTGCCCTGATGCGGCAACCGCCTCCAACTAAGAAGAATAGTGTAACAATGAAAGAAGTAATGAAGTGTTTACCAACCAAGCACCAAGCTGGGGTTACCATAGCAACAGTGTACGACTTGACACGCATATTTCCAGATGAGGTAACTTGAAAGAACATGATTGGGAGTCAGAAAGGGAGGGGTGTGGGAGGAGTAATGGCATTATGAAGATGATATACTGACTGTACTGGTGGGTTATGCAGAAAATGACTTGATGATTGAATAACTGAACGAATACAAATGGCTAAAATTCAGCTCTCGATTCGAAATCCTGGACTTTCCAGTATTCAAGAAATAAAGTAAATTTTAAAAAACGCATTAAGCAAAGCTGAATCTCGGGGGATTTTACATGCAAATCAAACTCGTCTTGTTTTTTTTAGCGTTTTAATTTTTTTTCATTATTCTTCTCCCAACAACAGCGTTTTCTAGGTGATTATTCCGACGGACTCTTCACAGACATTGCTGCTTTAGAGGCCATTCTCCGTTTCCAAGAAAATATCAGCAATATCTCCAAGTCAATAAAAGAGCGAAATAAAAAGCTGAAGATCCCTTATGTTTATCTGCTCCCAGAGGGGACGCCTAACAGCATCGCAATCTAGGATCCACAGTTGTAAAACTAGACATATACCGGCTTACAAATATAAAAGGCGTATTTTTATAAAGCCTTAGAAAACAGTCACTACTGGTTTTCCCGCGAAAAGACGGCTGAGAAACGAGAGCAGAAATTCCGTACCGATGATATGTGTCTACCAAGATCTGGGTGGTGCTTTCGATTTACTGAAGCAAACTTAACTTGCGGCACGACCAATCAGAAGTACTACACAGGTCTGCATGTGTAGTGACAAGTCATCAGTGGAATTTTTCGCGGGGAAGCCTTTGCTGGCGTCGCAAAATGTCGGCTCTTTACTCAGGTTTATTCTTATAAACAATATCTAAATTATTTATCAGTGGTATTTAGCACTAATGGCGTTATTTGTGTTATATTAAACAGAGTTCAGGCTTATTTTTATTAAACACATTTTTAAATACATTTTTATTAAATACGTCCTCTGCGTGGAGTGGAACATATCACAGTTTTTTTATCATTTGAATTAACATACATTTTAAGAATGAAATAATTTTTCAGAAAACTTGGCTTGATTGACCTTAATTCAAAAATCATCATGGCTGCAAACTGGAAAGTAGTTTTCAAAAGCTGCTGACCGGAAGAAATCTTTGATCTGTAATTTAATTTGGCCAGATTTGCAGTCAACAAAAATTGGTGGTTAAATACTTCTTTACGGAAGGAAAAATTTAAACCGTGTTTACCCAAACGGCTTTACGTGAGAGAGTTTTAGAGAGAGAGAGAGTTTGATGTGCATAAAGCAATAGTGATTTCAAATTGTTGCATCAGTGTGACTAATATACTAATCAGAACTTAAGGATTTTAAAATCCTCTTTACAATGTACAACTTGCAGTCCACTTTGACTGTTCATTGAAAGATCCAGCATGTACTTTAATTTTGAATTGTACCAGTAGGTTTCAGTGGGTAACCTGTGTACAGCCGCTCCTTCTATATCCTCAAACAAAATCGGGGAGTAGAGAGGAGGTGACTGTAGACATGCAGGCTCAGCAGTAGGAGGCCTTATAAGCATTACAAATGAATTATTAGTGAATAAGAAATGAAATAAAGTTTTCCTCATTTATTCACCATGACATTTCAAAATAACAAATTTCCCTCCTTACCTATCAACTGACATTTCAGTCTTAGCAGTATGCAAGAGATTTGTCTCATGAACGAAATAAAATACTTTTTAACGAAATAAAATACTTTTGAAATTTTTAGGGGTCTTTCGAGCAACGGCTGCACAGTTGATGTGAGACTATCACAAAATGTATCTTATGAAGTCGATTGTACAGCGTTTGCATGTCATATAAGGGTGCGTGACTACATGACGTAGGACCTTAAACGGGAAAAATTTCAAACGTAGGGCCCAGGGACGGGCGAGGGGCGAGTGGGAGACACTAACAGAGTAAGGTATCCAAGCAAAGATAATTCTTCATTGTTACGAAAATGATTCTTTACGACCTTAATTTGCCTACCGTGATCAACATCACGACCTTTAATGCTCGTCGACACGCTAAATAGCTTCGGACAATGTGTTAATGAAATGTTTTGTAATTCCTGTTAAAAAAAAAAAGAGGAATTAGAACAACTCAGCGCGCGCTTTCGAAGCAGTCGTCGTTAGCATGTAATGCAAGATGATAGCAGATTCCCAGTTTTGCACAAACGCTTTTACCTTTTAATACCCTTTCGCAAGAATTGTTGACTCAAAAGTGTTCAAATACGTTGTATAATTTATGTAAAATTAAGTATTTGTAAATGTTGATTTAAAAAATGTTAATTCATGGCGTGACATTGAATAGAGAAGCCTCGGTGATTTTCAATAATAGAAAATAATGGTTTTGTTCTATATATTGTACCTTGCTTAGCTTTAAATGCCCTCAGGTTAGCACCTTGCCACTGTTGTATTGTTGTTGCTAAGGAATGAGACTGTTTTAATTAAGGCACCTACGCCTGACGTGAACTCAAGGAATTAAGCCGTACAAAGGGGACGCAAAGACATGAACTAGGAAAGATACTGTACAAAGAAAGCTTAGCATTGTAGTTGCAGCTAAACAGAAGGTCGATTGCATCAGGGTGAGTATTCATCTGATTAATGGCAGAATCATTTTTTTTATATTGTTTATGTGATGTGTTTCTAGGGAGCGATTGTGAAGGAATGCAACTCTATATTCCCTTCAAAAGATTGTAACGGTGCATGTTTCTCTCGCTGTTGTTGATAGAGGATGCCAACTCCGACATGTTTTCTGGGGAAAGATTATCTCGTATCTCAACACAAAAAAGCAAGCTCTGTTCTCGTAAACAGTGTAACAGAGATTGCTGCTTTTAACTAATAGTTCGTCCAATATCATACTGTGTACAGACCTGCAGCTTAATTAAAACAAGCGTGACCGAACTGCAGAATCGAAGTCTTTCAAGCTGGCGAAAATTAATTAGCGACATTTCTTTCCCTTTAAACAGTGCTTACGCAATTTTTTCCATGTTGTTGTCAGTTTCATTTGCTTTTGTGCATGCGCACAACAGTTCTGAAAGTGGAAAACAGTAACGGTCAGGTTATAAAATACAGTCACTCAAGGGAATGACGTCACCGGCGCAAGTTGAGTTATAGTTTCTGCAGATTGTTTAAATTTAATAGAAATTGAGAAAGCCATGCATAAAAATTAGATTTTGCCGAACTTGCAGAACAGTTTTGATTACGTCTGGAGTGACAATGCAGTAGATTGATTTTGTTTCGTCTTTCCTTTTATAACCCATCGGTAAACTTTGAATGTTACAGAAATGATTTACGGGGTCTCATATAGGTGCCTTCGACAGAAACGGTGGCTAAAATTCTGCCATAGTGAAATAAAACAAAAAATATGAATCTGGCATAGAACTACCGGCGTCACTTGAGAAGACAACAGATCCATATCTACTTTAAACGACTTGGCGATTTAGAACTTTCGTTATCCTATTTTTATTAAACTGAGCGCGATCAATCTTCTTTCTAGTAGTAAATAAACCCATGGGAAAGGCCTTGCCTTGTAGGAATCATATCTATCTATATAGGTCCCTAAAAACGAAGTTGGCGTCTCGAAGTCCGCGCGGTTCTGACTTCACTACCTTATCAACCGAGCAGATCGGAGCAAAGGTTTTTAACAGATTGTAATTTCTTCGGGTCCCACTGTGAGCAAAAAAACTGAGGGAATTAAAATTGTGATTATCATTCGTGGCTTATTTTAATTAGGTTCATTGCCCAGAAATTAAAGCATAAATGTAAAACAAAAACGTTCAGAAGAGCCGTTAATGCACTAACAATATCATATAGCAGTTCTTTTAGGGCAGTATTTACACTGTATGAAATATAAAAACATCTTAGAAGCCAAATATTGCGGCGGAATGGACAGGTAAACAGATATCTACAAAATTAAGCAGGGGAGGCTGAAGACGGTTACTGAACACAATTTAAAGGAAGAGAAAAAGTTTTAAAAGGTTTATCATGCTCATTTTATCACCGACTTTTTATCTATGGCAATGATACAAAAATTTGGCCTGTCAAATAGGACGGAAATGAACTTATATTTATGGTAAAATCATCCAAAAAAATAAAAGAAGATGTATAATTATGTACTAGACTGTTTTCGTTCAAACTCAGATTGATTGTAGCTGTATTACCCCATCGGTAAACTTTGATGAATATACCCTGTGGAAATGATATTTAAGGGGAAGCTAATTTGGTGCTTCCATGAAAAAGAGGGCATCTGATCTGTCAAAAATTTAGATGCCAGGAAAATCAAGCAAGATTGAATTGTAAAAATGGTTTTAAGAGCTGCATTGCTGAAGTGTACAATTTAGTGCCTTTGACACAGAGATTTTAGAACTTTAACGAAGCGTTTTTTCATTTAGCAGGTTGAAAATAGATATGGGGATCATTACTTCAAAGAAGAGAAAGAATAACGGCCAAACAGTGCAGAATGAGCAAGTTATACAGACGGCGGCCTCGAACCAAACAGTGCTGAGTGAACACGTTATAAAGACGCCGGCGCCAAGCCAAACAGTGCAGAATGAACAAGTTATACAGGTTCCGAGGTCGATTGAAACTAAGCATGAGTCCATCGAATGTAAGAATTACTTTTTATGTCTCTAGTCCGCTCAACCTTAACTAAGATCCTAGCTTCAGAAGACTGTTATATTGATCTTCCAGAAATCGTTCAAAAAGTTAAGTTGAATTGTTTTCCTCTTAGTATGTAATCATTAATATCGTTTAGTGTATCAGTAGTCTCTTGTCATAATGGTTGTCATTTATTAGTAGTAATACCGTTAGTTTATCAGTCGGTCTCTAGTCATTGTTGTCAATTTAATTAGTTTCTTTAGTTTTCTTGTTACTTTTAGTTGTATTTAGTTGTATTTATTTCCTGTAAACATGACCCGCCTAGATTAGCTTAGCTACTCGCGAGCATGTTATAATTGTACTTTTACCTCAAAACACAACAAAAATGTATGTATGTATCTACTTAAGCGCATTGCCAGGCCTGAGGTTTGGTTTGCTGAAAGCAGCATAAAAGATGTAGCAATATTTCATGCCACATTTAGCCACAATCGTGGCCATGTATTTGATAAAAACTTAGCCAAATTACATGACATCTACAAAAAGTGATTTATCTCTTTATCTCTTTAGGGAGAGGGCAGGGTGGCAAAAACCTTTTCGTGTTGAAGCTGGAGAAAAAGAAACTTGCAACCAGGCCTGGCACCGACTTAAATATTCATTAACATCTGTTTTTTAGTCTGGTTTGCTTATATGTTGCCTTCCAGGAAATAATTATCTGAAAATTCTTTTTCACAGGGGAAAATATCGGATTCAAGATCTTCAAGGAAATTATGGGAGAGGAACTATTCAAGAGAAAGATGGAAGAGGCTGATGAGGTATATACTCGTCAAATCATTAAGATTTCACCAAAATATTTTTTAACTGACTGAAAGCTGACTGACATTTTGAATTGTACGGGTTGAAGAGAATCTGGTTTGTTTGGCACCAAGAAATTGGTTTATTTGAGTTGTCATATACAAAGAAATATCACAAGTATTGTTTCATAACATGTACAATAGGCCATCATATCACAATACTAATAAAAGGAGGCTAATTTTCATAAACCCGGTCCCAGTCTTCAAGCGAATTTCGGACCTATCAAGTTAGTGAGTCAAATTTTCGGCAATCATTGTGCGTTGTATCGTTTGGAAAAACACAGAGAGAGTGCCACAAAAATTCTACGGGAGTTATAAAACACACCCTGATCTCATCAGTACAACACAGCATCACTCTTGCAACAAGTCACCCGTTAAATCGTTCGTAACTCTCGTCGAATAAAAACGATAAATTCACTGATTTAGTCCTGTCTCTTTAAGCCCCCTCCAGATTCTGGACCCTTCAGTGCATCACAAATGAAGCTCTTTGTTAAGAAATATGAAATCGCCTACGCCTTAAGGACATTGGCAACGCAAAAACAAGGGACTTCTCCTGATGTAGTCGGGGCTATAGGTGCCGTAACAGTCTTGAAAAACCCACTCCTCCCTGCTCACGACTTTTTCCCAGAAGGACACGTGTTCCCAGTGCGTTTGCGTCACAGTAACTTTATGGCAACTGACGATGCACAACTGGACATTAGAACAGTTTCTTTAAAATTTGCCGACTGTGACTCGGAGTCCCCTTTTGATCTGATGATGCAAACGGGCGAAGAGGCGGCATTTTGGAGCATTTTTAGCTTTGACAAGATGTTATCAGCCTTAAAGGAGGGCCCAAAAGCTTTTAAAGAATATTGTCTGGAAGATCCTTGGCAGTAAGTCTTGATTATAGATTTCATTTGTTTATTAAATGTATCTCCCTGACCTTATTTAAAAACATCTTTTTTGTCCCGACAACACTGTTAATGCAATTAACTGCTAAACAGTGCCGCCTTTTTCTGGGTCTCCGGCTGTCTACCAGGATTTGAGTACGCGCAATGATTAACCTGCCGAAAAAGCCATTGTCGATTTGCCAATCAGGTTGAACTAATTTTCGGTACTTCTTTGAGTCCTTTGGGGGCCCAGGACAAGGATCTTGGCGCTGTTTCACAGACGTCACTAACAAGGATTAGATGACGTTTGCGACGCAGGCTATTATTATCATTAAATTTCGCATCAATTTTTATTATTTTCAAGTTCTTAGTTTCTACCTAGCCATAGCCGTTTTTCGCCGAGCACCAAAATCTTTTACCGATCAACGATATTACTCGTGGATGGTTTTTGAATACAAAGCAAAGGATGGCAAGCCACGTTACGCCAAATTTCGCCTCGTTCCCGCGGATAACAGAGTGGAGACTGGACTGATGACAGAACAAGAACAAAGAACTCCTTGGTAAGATTGAAAGAACTTGCCTATATGAGATGTTAGTAATTGTGCTTTTCAATAACATGCCAATTCTTAAGTCATGTAACGACCACTTTCATAATTTTTGTTATCTAAAACCACATTTGCAGGGACAATTGGAGATCAATAGGGGAAAGAAGACCAGAGAACTACTTAACTGCAGAGTTTGAAGAACGAATATCGGGTGAAGGTATACAATACAAGCTCCAAATACAACTCCATGAAATTCAACCAGGCGACTCCCACCTTATACTTCACGCGGCAAGAGCCTGGGATCAAGACACTCACCCTTGGCTAGACCTTGCTGATGTAAAATTGACGTCACTTTTGCCGGGTGACGTAGTTAGGGACACGCACACCTCATTGACTAATGCTCCACCGTCCATTTCGCTTCCTCCTGCCAAGACTATTTATGACTACAGCTCCCTTGCACATCTGGGAACTAAAGTCAGCATAGTCTCAAGTGAATTGAGTGTCCCGAAATCCCCTGTAAAAGAAGATATATCAATCTACTGCATTTCTGTGACAACTGGGAACAGAAAAGGAGCTGGTACTGATGCTAACGTGACCCTCACAATAACCGGTAAGGATCACAATTATTACGATTATAATAAAGCAGGGGTGGTGCAGTAGCCAGCGCACCTCGCCTCATCACCAGTGTCACCACCCTAATTCAAATCGCATTGTGACGCCATACAAGTAAATGGGTATAGCTAGTTGCTACTATAATTGCCAATCTTAGTTCCAAACCTTACCATTTGCCAGTTTCAAACAGCTAATATCAATACACAATTTCAGATCCTAGGCGTACAACTATACCCTTTGGCGTCGCATACTGTATGCCTATATCTCATATTGTGTACACCGTGTTACTAATCAAGTGTTACAAAGGTCAAACTGCCGATCCATACAATGCCCCCTGGCGAAAGAGCCAGGGAAGATATCCCAAATTTTGAGACGAACAATGTTTGTATCAGGTTATGACACTGAGCCCGCATTCTTATTCTGATGATGAATGTCTCTTACAAACCTCTATTATCTCAATTTCTTAGGAACAAATGGAAGAACAAAACCCCTTTTGATGGACAAATGGTTTCACAATGACTTCGAGGCGGGGACTCAAGATACATACACTTTGGAAGGAGAGGATGTGGGCGAGCTATTGATGATTAAACTGGATAATGACCAGAACGGTCTGTTTAGCGACTGGTTTGTGGAGAAAGTGTTAATAACCTGCAGCCAGAATCCTCAGAGGCTGTACGAGTTCCCCTGCCATCGCTGGGTGCAAAGCGAATCTGTTTTCTTTGAAGGAAAAGGTAGGTTTTTGTGTTTTGTCTTATTTAGCTCCGTACATTAGGAAAATTGAATCATGCTTTCATCCCATAACAAAAGAATATACCTATGGCGCTGATGAGTTACCGATCGGGGGAGGAGTTTTTCTCTATAGTGGTGCGTTCAGCTGGTACTCTAAGCCCTTCTCATATATAAGGACATGCTTTACCCTAACCTTAATGCTACCATACTCGTCACATTGGAAACAGTGCTTGTCACGTGCACCCCTCTACGTATCGTCAACTTCAAAAAACTGGCAGACTCGACATTGGGAAAAGGAGAGAAGGATAGCATGCTAGGAAAAGATGCAAAAATGGGCTGTGAAGATATGGTTTGGAAAAATCCTCAGCTTTAGCCTGCGACGAGTATTATAGATTCCTTTTCCCGTCAAAGAGTTGATTTCAACCAGTATTTTTTTGCAGATCTGTGTATTAAGCTTGCATGGAGTAAGAGCGGATTCAAACCTCAACTTATTATTCCTTTTCATAGCAATGACAGTCACTCATGAGCAGCACGAAGCCGTGAAAAATCAGAGAAAGCTGGAACTTCAACAAAGACAAGAAATCTTTCAATGGGCAGATGATCCTACTTTATACCACCTACCAGGTTGCATGAAGGCTGAAATAAGCACTCTCCCAAAAGATGTCCAGTTTACACAAGAAGGAGCAGACGACCTCCATAATGCCAAACAGAAAGCGCTAGCAAATCTTGGGCTAATTAAATTATTTAATCTCTTTGATTCTTGGGACGACTTTGATGACTATCGCAAGGTATAGATACACGATGTCTTTATAAAACGCATTCCTTTCTTACTGCTGTTGTACAAAACGCTCCTTTGAAAGAAAACTATTGGTGTAAGTTAAATACATAGCTTCACAAAGTCGTTTGCGCTTTATGACAGAAGAAGTTAGAAAATAGCCCCGCATGGAATGGCAGGAGACATCCAATACGTTTTCAGTGTGCAGCTGAGGGCTAGTATTGTAACTGTATGATTCTACTTACCGTAAGTCTAGACATTCGCTAGGTTTTGAGTAATTCCTGGGCCATGGGTAAGTGGAAGCTAAAATCCGTGGCAACAGTGAGCCTTCTTCTCCCCCACATTAGAAATTTAAAGCCTAATACAGGCTATGACATGACGAAATGTGTGTCAAGAGCGGAATTAAATTGACCACGTACAGTTTTCTAGGGAGAGCTATTTCCTTTGGGCTGTTCTTCTTTTCTTTCTTCTTTTCCTTCCACTTTGTTCGCCGCTAATTTGCTTCGCATTTGGATTCGTTTTTAACGGAACGCAAGAGTGCGAATCTGTGACGACCGGTTAGACAGCTTTTGTCTTTTCGATACTGGGAGCTCAAACCTGCACAGAAATCTCTCAGTCGTGATTATCTCATCAATATTCAGATATTAGCACAGCTGAACAAATTACAATACATCAAAAATGGGCGATAAAAGTGGAAAGGATAGTGAAATTCTAATAAAGGCAGTCAACGTGATCGGTATAATGCCCTGGTACTGCAAAACTTTCTGATCCTTTCTATCACCAAATGAAGTCCAGCAAAGGAATCAGAAAAACGGTTATCAATATTATATAGATTTGGCAAGTCCAAGAGCGGAGCTTCCGTCAATATACTTATAATTTAGTTAAAGCAATTAGCTTTAGGTGCCCACTTTCAACTTTTGAGGGAGGGGCTGGAATTACCAAGACATAACCAATAAAATGCCACAGCAAGAAATAATCCTTTTGTTTCAGGCATTTGTCGCGTTTGTTGGTGATGTTCCGTCAGCTGCCGAACGCTGGCAAGATGACCGTTTTTACGGATCGCAGTTCTTGAATGGCTGTAACCCAGACACGATCAAGCGTTGCATAGAACTGCCGTCAAAGTTTCCTGTCACTCAGGAACTGGTTGGAAATTTGCTGGACGAGAGCGATACCTTACAGAAAGCGATGGAGGTTGGTTTTTCTCCATATTTTGTTGTCTTTACACTGATAGAGACGATTTGCCCAAAAACTTGCCTAAAACGAGTGGCCAAGAGAGCAAAACGTCCACTTCCGTTTGACTTGTATCGTTTAAAAACGTATTTATTTTAAGCTCTCTATTATCTCATCCCAATGCGCTCTTACAGTGTAAGGCAGGTAGGATAAGCACTTATCTTATCAGCTCAGATCATAGAACCATATTTTTTAGGATGGCCGTGTGTACATGGTTGACTTTGAGATTCTCGAAGACATTCCACACTATGGCCAGAAGAATGAGTCATTGGAGAGACGTTACACCTGCCCAGCTATGGGCTTGTTCTACGTCAGAGGCAATGGAGACATTGTTCCCATAGCCATACAGTTTCATCAGGTGCCCAGTGAGGCCAACCCAATATGGACGCCAAACGATACGGAAATGGACTGGATCTACGCAAAAATGTGGCTGCGGAATGCTGACACACAGTGGCATCAAGTAAGTATATCTTTGCTTGACCATTGCCTTATCCCGTTGTTAAATCTCCTCAACAACCCTGCCAGTCCAGTAAGATTTGGTTCATGTAGGAAACGACTGTGTGCGTTAGTCGATTTGATGACCCTTTTACCACTAATTTCATCCCCTGGTATTCCAATCGCGCCTTTTCTTACTCTTTCCAAGGGCTTCTCCTTTCTATTACGTGGCACATGTTGTATCTTGCACTCCCGGACGGTTCGCGCAATGGTAGCTCCTTTTACGAGTAAGGTGTATCTTGCAGTTTTTCGATATCCAATACTGACCTTTTACGCCTGAATTTAGTTCCGTTAATGTCAAGCTGAAGTATGATGTTAACTTCATTTTGTTAGATGATCCCACATCTCCTCCGCTGTCACCTGTTCATGGAACCGATTGCTGTAGCTTGTTGGCGACAGCTTCCTTCATTGCATCCGTTATGGAAGCTACTGATACCTCATATTCGAGGAGTTATAGCCATCAACACTCTTGGCAGGGAAAGGCTGATTCCAGCTGGAGGTGTGGCGGATAACACTCTCAGTGTGGGTGGAGGAGGTATACGTTTTTTATAACTATATAAAAACAAGAAAACGAGAATGGTGGTGGATCTTAATGACGCGCCACTTTCTCAACCGATCAACGGTACAGGCAAAATCATTCGTGAATAAATTCCCAGAGGGGGTACTCGTACGTAACCGTAATAAAGAGAGAAGGTATTTGAACCCTTTGGGACTGTAATTCGTTTAGCCCTGAAAAAGAGTATAAGGGTTTGTGCTCTGTGTAAACAGGGTCTCGACACAGGTGAAAGAACAACTGTTCAGGTGTAAAATGGGAGAGAAAAAATCATCTATTTTGTTCTGAAATAGTGTGTGGAAATCACGTATTTTGGTCTGAAATAGTGTAGAGAATGTTACAAATTTTCGTAAGAAATAGGGTGAGTGTTTTAGAAAGCATGGTGAACATCCAACCCAAAGCTTTCGGGAGGACCATGCACCTCCCCGCAGGGCTAAATTTCACGCGTTTAATTCCGCGATTAGTAAATTTCTTTATTAGTTAAGTCACCCAATACAATGATAGGCTAATTTCAGCCACAATACTCAAGACCTGATATTTTGGCGTCAAAGTATTTCTTGCTACTTTCATCTTACACTTGCTAGCTTCTTTGTTCCCCAATTCAGCATAAAGAAAATGGAATGAAACCAGAGTCAAAACGTTCTAAGCTCCATTGGCCTCAAGAAGTGCATGATACAAATACTTAATATACTGTAGCTCTATTGCTGCTATATTCTTGTTAATTCACTTGATCACCATTTTGCTAGGTCACATTGATCTGATGAAGAAGTACTACAAGACCATGAATTGGTCCTCCTACGATCTGCCAAAAGTTTTAAAAGACAGAGGCGTGGATGACCCGGAGAAGCTTCCTAATTTCCATTACCGTGACGACGCCTTGAAACTGTGGCACGCCATAAAAGGGTATATCACCAAGATTCTCTCATTTTATTATCATTCAGATGAAGATATACAGCAGGTAAGTAATAAAAAATGCCTATTACAAATGGCCTATTACAAATGGGGTGGAAGCTGGAAATGCAAGGTTCGGGAGACGGGAGGCTTGGACCCCCTCCCCCCCCCGGCCTCTTACCATTTTAAAACAAAGGCCACACATATCATTGAACTACGCATGACATGCTCTTAACTCTCTTTACATCGTTTGACGCCGATCAACTGACCCCCATTGACCTTAATTTTTTCTTACAGGACACAGAGCTGCAAGCGTGGATACTTGATCTCCACGACAACGGCTACTCAATCAGAGAAGACGAAAGTGATCATGGCGTCCCTAAGTCCATTACATCCGCTGACCAACTCACTCATCTACTTACCATGATGGTTTTCACCTTCTCCTGTCAACACGCAGCCGTCAACTTTTCTCAGATGGATACCTTCGGTTTCCCGCCAAATTCTCCGGCCCTGATGAGGCAACCTCCGCCAACAGAAAAAGGCAAGTTGTCAATGAAAGATATGATGCAAAGTCTTGCCACGAAGCACCAAGCAGGAGTCACAATAGCGACGGTGTATGATATGACTCGTATCTTTCCTGATGAGGTAACCATTTCTTTCATTATATTTTTTAGCCTACCCTGTCTTTTGTGGCTAGCAATCTCAGACAAAAATTGTTCAGACAAGTGCAGGAAACTTCTTGCTACCATGGCAAAGTAGAAAACAGTTCATTTTTCATGATTTTGATTTAATGTAGTTTTGAAGGGGGGCACAGTTCAGCCTTCTACAATTCCAAATGTCCCATTGATTGATGACTAAGATTACTATTCGATACCACTATCATCATTGAAACCACGACTAAATACTGAATTATATTATTAAGTATTAAATAAAATGACGTCGTCATATGAACACGAAAAGGGAGTGTCCGGGATTGAGTGATGGTATCTTCCCAAATAGTGCTTTGTATCTATTGAGTGGTTTGTTTGTAATTTTGATATTACTGCATTTCCTATATGTTTTTATTATTCCCTTCAAGCGTTTCCTTGGCGACTACACTGACGGGGGTTTCACTGACATGGCGGCCAGAGAGGCTATTTTACGCTTCCAAGGAAAACTCAATCGCATTTCGCGATCCATTAAGTTACGCAATGAGTCATTGGAAGTTCCTTATACTTACCTGCTTCCAGAAAGGGTACCAAACGGAATCGGCATCTAGAAGACCAAGTATATTTGTAATTTACCATATATCACTACTGTACATAGATAAAGAGTAATCACTTTAACATCATGACTAACTATATAATGCTTTGTTTGTAAGATTTACTACAGGTACCGTTTACTTCGCTGCGTTATTATACATTGTACTTACTATCTGTCTTCTGTCTTCTTCTGTCTGTCTATCTGTCTAAGAGGCTACCCTTAATTTTGCGAATCAATGCAATCTTAGGACAAATTAGTTAATTACCTGCGAGTAGATATCTGACTAAAGCCGTAGGATTCGCGCGCAATGCATTTTTTCCAAGAGTAATGTCAAGCTGTTCTCCATATGTGTTTGTTGTTACTTTCTTCCAAACAATGTATAATAAAACTATTTATTAGATTCGGTTTTTCGTACTGTCCAGAATAATCAAGGTCGAGGTAAGTGTTGTCAGCCGAGGCCGATAACTCGACCTTGATCATTCTGGATCTGACAAATAGCCTCGTCCAGTTTATCATAGAGATAACTGGCACCTAGGAATTTTTAATGTATACGGTTATTTCAGGTTACCAGTTCCATGTTATGATATTTTTATATAGTTTACATTTTTCACCCTACAGCCCAAAACAGTAGTTCTTTGCGAAGTCACATGACTGAATAAAAATAACACCGTTTCCCGGCAAAGGAAAGGGGAGACATTGCTTTTTTTTCGTGAGCTAAATGACAATCACTTAAAGACTGGTCCTTCGGAAAACTAGACGCGTCTTATTTTTCCTGGTATAAATGGCCCTAATGTTTCCCTGGACTCCTTAGACTGCGTTGCCGCCGGCCCACGCACTCGTAAATATAGTCCGTCTGCGAATTAGTGCACAAAAACTCGTTCTAATATCCTGCAGAGTCGCAAGGACATATGTAAGCGTTTCTGATAGGCGAGTTTCTTGCGGGTTTCTTATGCGCCTCACGATTGGCCTAATTCTTACGTGTGCGTAACGGTTGAGTGCAGTGACATGTCAAAATTAATAGAAGGAAGTTGACAAGGATCGTTTACAGTAAACAATGAAACAGCAGTTCTACTGTCAAAACAAAGTAGGAAATCATGATATTCACGGCCAAAAAAAAAACTACACACATGTAGCTATTCAGGTCCAGGCATTTAGAACAATAACAAAGTTTAAGGCTTCAACAGAAGTAAAAGAAACTGCATCCGTGATCACATCCTGTCAGAAAACATTTGCCGAAACATGAACCACACTAACTAATTACTCAATATGCATGGAACAGAGCACCTTCATAACCTCTAAATGTGAGACTCAAAGTGGCAAAAAAAAAATTTGCTCAAAGTTTAGAATACTCCACGCACTACTACATAAACTACGCAAAAAGAGAGCAAGAAAAACCTCTATTGTTCAAGCTAACTCTAAGGTCACGTTCCACACTATCACAAGCTCAATCCGACTCTTGTCACGAGCTATAAGTCTTGTTTGGCCTGTCAACACTTAATTCAAATCGGACTTATCACAAACCGCGTAAGAAACTAGCCAAACAAAAACGCCGACATATGTCCTTGCGACTCTGCGGGATTCGAACACGATATTGTGCACTCATTCGCAGACGCTCTATACAGAAGGTTTAGAGCGTCTGCGACGCAGGCAATGGACTCCTTGGACACTGGGATTCTCTGGACCAGTCAAACGTATAAATATTTGTTCTTGGTGGTTGCACAACAATCACGTGATAGCGTCTTTCTTTAACGACGTCATCCTAAAGATGGAAGGGAAGAGGAAGGGAATGTAAGGACAAGGTTCACAAAACGATACGAAATCGACGCCTGGATATTGCTGAACCTGACTTCCGACTTCCGACTTCCGTATTGCTGGTTTGCAGGTGACGTCACGGCGGCAATGCTGGTGGTCAAGAACAATAGCATTTTTCCCCTCTGGGAATTAAACTCTATTTTCATGTAGATTCTTCGAGAAAAAATTCTATTGTATTGACCCCCAACATGGTCGCCGTGTTACGTGGTTGCAAACCAAGAATAGGGCGCCGCTAAAGTGGCCAGCAGTGATGTAAATTTATTGGAACCTTTTTATAAATAAGAAAAATGTTCATATCCCACCGGACTGTTTTGAAACACCAACATGGCGGCCTTTTCGTTGTTTTAGGACATCAATATGACGGACGTGACGTCATATTGAGAAAGACGCTGCGATCATAAAACTGTACAGCTCTGTTCTAACGTCACTACTGTTAATTTGTGTATCACAGTTGTTTATTTAATTTCATAATATATAGATTTAGCCAGGGGTAAAAGCGAAGCTCCCATTAATAAATTTATTATTTAAATCAAACAATAAACTTGGAATCCACATATCAGTTAACTTAAAGGCAAATTCATGTGACTTTTCAGGGAAAGGCTAAGTGATTTTGGAGTGAAACGTCTTACATCGAGTTGATAGCCATATGTGTACACCCAAAAAATAGCAATCATCTTCGATCACATTCAAGAGCCATAATCAGCTCTTGATCACAGTAGATTAAGCCTGGAAAACAAATTCTTGGAAAACAAATCAGGCAGAATGTTTTGCTTTCGACAAGTTTACTTTTTGTCTGTTTCTCCCTTTTTGCTTTTAAACTTAGCGCGACGGCAAAGTTATGCTTACGCAATTAGTTTATATACTAGACCCGAAATAAAAAGCTGACGGGATGTTAAATTTTGTGCTCATGCGCAGTGCGTTTTGCCGCGGTGTTGCCTAAATCATACCGTCCAAAAGGACAGCGGGGGAGTACTGGGAACGAGTTTCCGATTCGGGCCGACTACGGAAATTCTCGAAAACAGCCAATATGGCGGCTCAAGAGTGGTGGAAAACTGACAACCAAAGGAGCCGTTTTATCTCCAGAGAAGCGTGATTTACGGTGTTGTTGACGAAGTTTCCGCTGTAAAAGCTGTCATAAACAATCTTTTAAGAATAATTTGAATTTTCCTGTGGTGCGGACGGACGGTCGGGCGGGCGGTCGGTCGGACAGTGTACGGTCACGTGATTGCCAAATTTTCTGGGATGGTAGATGCACTAAGCTATGGGGCTCCGCCCACGCGCGCGTGGAGCTCCGCTGTAAAAGACGTAATACATAAACAATCTTTTAAGCATAATTTGAATGAGCAGAATAATGGAAAATTAGTATCACTTATCGGATATACATAACAGTTGTATCGGTTGTGGCAGAAATGGTAGACTAAAGACAAAAAGTCACGGTTACCACTTACATATAACTGAAATTATACAAAGTTTGTTTAATTTTGCTATCAATAATGATTATTTATAAGGTTAAACTCAGATTGCCTTTTATATTTGCAAATATAGCTTGTTTACAGCCGCCCCTCAAGTCAAACAAACTGGGATAGAGAGAGGGGAGGGGAGAGTTAGGGGATGGCTCCGGTAATGTACCCACGGCTACTATGCAAACATAGATGAATTTTTTTGGTATCGAGCACAATTCGAGCACACTTATATAGAGTTTCAAGCAGGATTTTGAGCAGATTTTTACACTCAAACATTGCTGGTAGACAGAACAAGCCATTTTACGATTTATTCAACTAGTACACAGGCGTCTACTCGCAGGTCGGCGTGATGAGTTTGGGTATCCTGCGTGAGAGTTCACAGGTCTCCTGCAAACAGTACGAAAAGACTTGGTAGTAATATTCTATTTTAATGCCGGTCAATCGGAGTTTTTAAACGCATAAAAATGTACTTGTTATGGCATACTACAGTCAATTAACGTAGACGATCATCATTAACAGGTATTCTGCTCCTCAGAGAAGGTGATCGTTTGTTAGTCATAAACGCGTGAGTATGTGTTTAAATCCAGAACAAGGGTCTCTTGCAGACATGGTCTCATAAGATAGGACTGCCCACAGACCCCTCAAGTTCATAGCGAAAGCGCTCAAGATGTAGACTTGCATGGGGAATGATTATCCTTGAACTAGAGGTAATGTTCTAAAAAGAAAAACATTCTCGAATCCGCAATAGCCGCCTAACGGCGACTGATATTGCCTCTGTATAGCGCAGTTAAGATAAGCTAAATAATTTCATCATCACAACCAGGTTCACAACAATGAATTCGAATCTTCACTACAAAAAGGTTGAAAAAAAAGTACCCAAGAAGAACTAGCAACCCAGTCAGTTGGGAGGTCTAGATTCTACAGCTGAGAAGAAGGTCTGACACTTCATGAACCCTGCACTCTGAGGAAACCTTATCATAAATTTGGAAGAAAAACAAGGAGAAAAGAGGAAACACCAAAGTAAGGAAAATAAGGAAACCTTGATCACGGTTTACTACATTTATTTATGTTTCTGAGAAATTGCCCACCTACCCCTCCCCTAAGTCAACATCAACACTTACTCTCACTTTAGGCAAAATGTTGGGTTAGGGGAGGGGTAGGTGGACAGTTTCCCAGAAACCTAAATTGATCAAAATTTTCTGCCAAATATCCTTTTTTTCCTCTTTTTTTGAAAGGTAATAACAAATACTACGTTGTTTAAACCCCATGAGGTGTCCGACCTCACACATGGGCGTTTACCATTAATTTTACCAGAACTTGCTGGCCAAACCAGTCCAGTCGTAAGGAGAATTCCACTATTGACCACACCCGGGTTGTTCTAACGTTGGATAGCGCTATCCACCGGACAAATCACTATCCAGTGAATAAGTGTTAACAAAACCAGTTGCGCTATTCAGTGGATAGAGATTTATCCAGTGGACAGCGGTATAATATAACAAATATATAATAAAATATTTATATAGCGCTTATACTTTCAAGTGCTAAGCGCTTAGCGGTATCCAAGCGTTATCAACCTTTTGAACAACTGGGGCCAGGATTGTCAAGTCAGATCAGTTTATCAATAATCAAGATGCACGGCAGTGATTGGTTTTAGCAAAATTTTCGAGAAAAGGTGAAACAAATATTTCATTGACCATTATTTTTATTTCCTGTCAAAAAGGTTGCACCGGCAACTGGGTCAAAATTCGTCGCTAAAACGATCCCAGAGTGCAATTCGGTTAAGCTTCGACTCAGTCCCAAGGGCAAACAAAGGACCATACATGTATTCACATTCCACGTCATCCTCAAAATCCTGGACTAACACGCCCTCGACTGAACAACATTAACATACTGCTCGGGTCAAGTTAAGGCGAGATAACCAGAGTTTCGTACTGCAGCCAGTTGCAAGACGACTAAAAGGTATGTTATAAGTTAAGACGACTATACTTGTAGTAGCTAACCTTTCGGGTTTGTTTTTTAACAATATAAGACGCCTACATAAAAAATGTTGTCGAGTGCAACGTTTCTTAA